GGTAGAACTTATTACTTTCATCATAAATTAACGGCTTCGCAGAACGGGCTTATTACGGGACGGTCAGTTGAAATCAACCTGTGCTCCTTTTAACACTTTGCTGCTCCGACTGTCCGAACAGGGGACTGGCAGATGCTTCTTATTTTGATTTATCTAAAACATTCCACAAAGGTGATAATGAGCTATTGCTCCACAAATTATCGTGATACGACTGGTGTTGTGAAATACTTCAATGGTTTAAAGCTATTTATTATGTCGCACGAATCATGTTCGAATTTCTGGTGTCTATTCCAGACCACTTTTCTGAACTTCTCGTGCCGCCAAGCCCGAGGGGTCTATTCTTGGGCCTCTTCTGTTTCTGGTATCTGTTAACAATAGAGCCTGATGTGCCAAAAAAAGCTAAGCTCTTACTGTTCACGGAGGATATCGCAATTTTTATGCGTATTTCTACTCCTCTTCACTGCAATGCTCTTCGGCATGACGTGAACAGCATACGGCAATCGTCTTGCCGAATAATCTGGTCCTAAACCCTACCAAAACTAAAGTTCTCCCTTTGAGCAGACGACACGCTGTTATGCATTTTACTTACTCTTTGGCAGAAACTCCAATCGAACGCTTGACTTCAATGAAAGGTCTCGGTATGAGATCATTACCGAGCTGTCATTTGCTCATGTTTCTTTTATCGTTGGCCGTGCGATAAAAAAAAATTCCGAGGACACCTAAGCACTTTTTATGAGTTGTGAATGCGAAAGCATGAATGTCGTTCTTCCGCGTCCGCCAATGCCTATCTAGGAGCCGTTTTGCTCAGCCAAAGGGAAAATGGGCATTCCTTTCGCGTTTTGTTTTTGCATTACAGACGCCTCCGGCTCCGCTCCATGGGATAGTTAATGCTTCCGCATTAGAACGTTAACTATTACATTTTGTACAACTCAAAAGTTCTGACACCCTGATTGTATTATTTGTTTGTTTTGTACTTTAGTTCGTTCACGACTTAAGTTTGCCTCAGTGTTATGGAATTATCTACCACGTACACAGTCTCTAAGCATTGGATCGGTGCAAAAATGTATGATAAGCATTGTATGTGATAGACACTATTAGCGCTGCTTTTATTATGATTATTCATTTCCTCTTAATAGTCTTTTAGTCAGGTCTTTGTCACAGAGAAGATTCTAACGTGATTTGTTTTTTGCACAGTGTGGTAAATAATTGGATTGATGCTAACCTACTTCTGACTTCTGTCGAGTTTCATGTTCCTTTTCGTGTTTCCAGAAATTTTAGTATTTTACATTCAATCTATGTCTCAACTTTCACCACTGACCCGCATGCAACTTTTATTTTGAAATAATCCCATCCTCCAGCTTGTATAGCTTCACGGACCCTTCAGTTTTTCGCCGGGGCTTGGGCAGTGCAGTCGAAAGTTGAAACTGTACTACATGTTGTGAAGTATGCCCACTATTTGTAGCCCTGTTAATTTGTGAATTTGATGTTGTGCATGTGTTGTTTTCTTTTTTTTTATCTTCTTGTGTGTGCCAATGTGAAGAGTAGTTGTTTTTGGGCACATAAAATATACAATATTATTATATCTATTATAGAAAATATTGCAGTTATTGCGGATTCTGGAAATGCTCAAAATATTAATTTTGGGAAAGAGTTTAACGTTTATTTACAATGTTGAAAATACTTTTTCTATAATTTTATTGCTTATGATATAAGTAGTATTCCAACAGTTCTAAAAAACTGTAACTATATCACTTCATTTACAATGAAGGATAAAAGCGATATGACATTATTTCTGAGTATTTCGTTTGAATATACCTAACAATAAATTTCAAAAGCTTTACACTTGTCACACTACATAAATATATGTTTTTACGTATTGATAAAATATCTGATGATTCATATTTAAAGTATAGGATAAGTTAATAATTTAGGTCTCTAAACACATGAAACGTAACATTGAGTTTAAAAAAAAAACCGAATGAATTGAATTAGATCCCGGAATTGGATTTTAGAATAATTGAGGATCAAGGGAATTATATTATATCAAAGATTTGGTAAATCTTAAAAATCCCAGTAAAAATTTTGATGCTAATAATTTTTTAACAATGAAGGAATTTGTAAAAATCTATACACAAAATATAACAAAGCAAATTATGATTAGTATGACAATAATAAAAAAGCTAATAAGTCAAAAGTATAAAGAAATTGAATATCGAAAGAAACGTGATGACAATATGAATAGAGATGAACGTTTAAAACACACGGAGCCATTAACCATACTTCTTTGGTTTAGTGTCGTTATGCCATTTAACTTGTGCTATGATCCGAAAGAGCTTTGATTATCCTGAAAGGCTAAAGCTTTATTTTACTATGACTCAGCATAGATGTCATAATTGTTTTACCTTATCCCAGATGACATCTTTTTATCTTCTACAGCTTTTATATTCATGAAAGCGTATATTCTTTTTACTACATTTTATATAACTTCTTTTAGCCTTCTTTGATATTTTTTTCACGTTCAGCATAAATTTTCTCTGCTTAACATTTGTTCTAAATGCTGTCGATTCTACTAGAATATTCCCATTCAACTTATTTTTAAGCGTTTGAATCACTTTTGTATTGTATATTGAATATAATAGGGATCTGCTTTATTCCTTTCACATCATTGTAAATATATCCGATTTGAATGCCATATTTGAAAATGTTTGTATCTGAATACATAATCTTTGTTTTTATGTTTTTTTTAAAGTATATTGAAAATCATACATTGAAGTCTATTAAATCTAGAATTGACAATCCAATATATATGAGTTAGTTTGCAAGTATCTTTCGATTGTGAAAACGTAGTGCAACCATATTGTCACTGAATGTATTTCTGAATATAAATTTAACGTATGACAAACGTTTTAGAGTGTTTTTATATCTGGAACTAATTTCATATGTTGTCTATTTCTTTTATTTTTCGTTGTTTTACACCATGCAGCATTGTTTAACTTGAAGAAATATTTTCAAATTATTTTCCTCTGACTTTATCATTTTGTTTTTATGTCAATGAAATCTTTGATGACCGGCCTATATTTGACTAGTATCAAAAAGTGTGCATCTTGGTAACATTTTATTCAAGTTTTATGTATTTCCTTACTGCCGTATAATGAATAGCACATTCCTCTTTATGATATAACGTTAAAAAAGGTTCGAGTTCGTTTGCTTTTCATTAGAGCTAATAAAAATTATATGATAGTGATTTAATAGCTCTGGTTTTAAAAATAACTTCAAAAGTTTACTCACAATTTTTTAATAAAATATGTTATAAGATCAGGATGTTGAAATTTGTGAAAACTAATGAACTCGAGAATATGATGTGGTAATAATTTAAGCAAAGCCCGTCCACAAAAGTTATTTGTATGGAAGTACATTAAATAGTTTGTAGGCTTATATCTATCATAATCTGGTAAATATGTATTACTTGCTTTTGGTTATCTGTATGTTAATATGTCATTCCCCATCTAATTCATTTTTCTATCATAAAACACACATATCTGAAATCTTGTGAACTCTAAATTTCGTCAACTTTAAAATTTCATCCAAAGCCAATTCTTTAGTTATAACAAACCGACATGGATCTATTTCATTCCTCCTGACACACATCAGAAAATGTTTCATATAATCTGCAAGTAATAGCATATCTTCTTTGATATAAAAAATCAAAATATTCACCTAGTGCTCTTGATTATAAGAACGTTTCTTTATAAACGGTTAATCCCCTTTCATCTTATTTATCTTTTATTTCATTTCCAGTTATCTTTGTAATTTAATATTTCATGGTGATTTTTTAAAATATTTTTCAAAGAAATTGATGCAATTATATCTGAATATAATTTTGTTTTTGTAACAGTATGCCATCTTTGAGATATTATTGGTCTCTCTTAATTGTTATTTGAATGGGTTTGAAACAACTTTATTTGAGGTTTTCTTCATAAATTTAAAGCTGTCTAGAAATCTTAATTCAATGGTTTTTTCAACTATCCATTGTTATCATTTTAAACTTCATGTATTCTTGTTCATTGTTTGCCATCCTTGTTTTCATATTTTTGAAAGAAATTGATGTAATTATATGTGTTTCGAAGACAGGAAAGGGTTAGTAACGGCGCCACTCTACACTGCACAACTGCCTTCCCCTTCCCCCCCCCCCCCCCCAAACTAACCACTAAAATACCTACGGAGAATGCCCTGCAGCACGCCTTTCGCATTCTAAAATAAAAACCAGCTTTCTGTTTGTTCCCACCTGTGATGTTTATATTAAAAGTAACACTTACACCTAAATAAGGGTAATGGCGCATGCTAGCTGGTGAACGACCATACTTAAACCTGTACTCATAAACCCACAGAGAAGGAAACAAACGAAGGGAAAGAAAAATCTGGCAACACAACGACGTCCATTTTTTTCCCCTCTTCGTTTGCTTCCTTGTCTCGGGGTTTTTAGCCCCAAGTATAATCACATTGAAGCAGCCTTTTTGGTTACCGTGTTGTCTCAAACAAACGCCCCCCCCCCCCCCCCCGGGTTTTGTTTGAGACAACACGGGAACCAAAAAGACAGCTTCAATGTCCAACGATTAATATTTTATTATTAGGTTTCTACTAAATGTCCACTTTTGACTTTTTTTTAATGTCTCGTACATCACAATGCAGCAAGCGGATTTTGACTTGCTTGCACTTGACGCAGTCGTTCCTAAAAGTAGCTGGGCATCACTTTTATTGCGCGCTGGCATAAAAAAGAGGCTCCTTTATTTTTTTTTTGAGCCATGAATTATTGGATCAGTTTGGCTCAGAAAATACTTTGACATCACTAGTCTCGACCAATTGAATAGGTTATGCCTCTTTCGGAATCTCTTATTTGCTAAGACAACTTCAGCTGTACACAGTATGTTCAGTATTTACGCCTTGCACACTTGATCTTATTTTTTAATAAATAAAACAAAATGCTTTGAACTTTTCTTGTTTTTCTTTTACAGACGGATTGGACCATGCAGACTCACCGAGTTCCTTACCTGAGGATGTGTCTAGCAATTGTTAGTGTGCTGATGCTCCTTTGGGTCATAATAGCTGAGCGGAAAAATAAGGATTGCTCTAAAAATCTTAGTGACGTCGAGGTTGGTTCCCCCAATCATAATAAGAAAAAACGCGGCCAGGAGAAAACAAAAATAATCGCGCCTCCAAACAACCATGAAAGTCCAAACATGAAAGACTATATCCTTCACCCAGCCAGTTTATGCATGCAAAAAAATTCCTCGACTCAGCTTGACTACTTGTTCGTGATCTACTCTGCACCCAGAAACTTTGATCGGAGGAATGCCATTCGTGAAACATGGGCCTCTGAAATTAAGCAAAAGTCAAATAGTCGTACAGTGTTTCTCCTGGCGAAGACAGAAAATGACAAGGTGCAGCACGCGATTGAGAGTGAGTCTTACCTGCACGCCGACATTATCCAGGGGACGCACATCGACCACTATCGAAATTTAACTTTGAAGACAAAGATGATGATGAGGTGGGCCCTGAAACACTGTCCCAAAGTTTCGTTCCTTATAAAGTGCGACGACGATACGTTCGTGAACGTTGAAATCCTTTTAAAAGTAATGCAGAGCAAGCGCACCGACGCCATTCATGGCCATTTATATGCGAATAAACCACCTTATAGAGAGACGTCCTCCAAGTGGTACGTATCCAAGAAAGAATACAACGGAACCGAATACCCTCCCTTTGTAGCTGGAGCCTTCTATGTGTTAGGCGGCAGCATCGTGCGCCGTCTGTACGACGCTTCGGAACAGGAGCCGTTCTTCTGGCTGGAAGACGTATTTTTGACGGGATTCGTCGCCGAGAAAGCCGGCGTGATCCGCACCCACGAAAGCTCGATAACAGATGAGCAATTCAGTTCCGTGTGTCTTGCTTTAAAAAAAGCAGCCTCCCATAACATTCCAGCGCAAGCGATGAGAGTCTTCTGGTACCAGATACATTATTCTATAATAAAATGTAAGTGAACTTAATGTTATTTGTTTCCTTTGTAGATCAGATCTACAAAACACTTCTTTTACGTAAAAACATCATAGGTGTTGCGACTCTGAAGAGTAAAAGTATTACAATAAGCAGTGTGCAACGAACACCCTTACAATGTTGTACCTACACGTCGTTTAGTGCGCGATTGACACTTACATTTTGAGTCGCAAATATTTGCTTGTACTACTATAGTATCCAGGGGTGACCAGGCTGCGGCTCGCGAGCCGCTTGAGGCTCTTCGCGTGTGCGGCTCGCAACTCCATTCCATACCCCCTCCACCCCATCTCCCCCATTCCCCCGCCTCCCTCCCGGTCACACGCGCACTTTCCAAAAAAAGAGAGGTGGAAAGCGTTTTAAATCGAAAGACAGGTTGCGGTTTGGTAGTCTTGTGCTACTGCTATCTTACGTATACTTGGACTGCTTTTGATTCACATAGATTTAAAGTTGTTCGAGTGTAGTTTATTGCTTTAAACAAAATCCTCTCCCTCCCCCCCCCCCCCCCCCCCCCCCGCGGCTCTTGGAAGTTTCGTGGTTTTGTTTGCGGCTCTTAGGGCGGGTCAGCCTTGCCACCCCTGTACTGTACTATGAATGGTAGCAGTTTATGTAAAGCTTTATTCTATGAACTTACCGTATTTTTTCTGAAGGAGTCGCAAATGAAACACGAATTTCCATATTTTCACATTTAAGCAAAACCGATTTCGTGTTTATTGTCTATCACCATTTCTGGAATCTTTCTCAAAAACACAGATAGGTTTTTGCTCCAAGCAATTGCTTTGTTTGTAAGAAATTCAGGTCCAGTACAAATGCAAGTAATTACACAACGATACGAGGTAACCTCATTATGTCAAAAATTGGAACCTTAGAAGCGTTTCAGAGCGCAGCTCTTAGGCGTCCGTTTCCGGCTTGAGCGGCGTAGCCGTCGCCGTCGGCGTAACCGCGCGTTGCATTATGGGGAACGTCCCATAAAGCAACGCGCGTGTCTCACTCGTGACCCGCGTGTTGCATTATGGGACGTTTCCGACAATGACAGGCGACGTCACGGGGGTCCTGCGCGTTGCATTATGGGACGTTTCTGATATAGACAAGTGACGTCACATGTGATGTCGCGAGGGTCACGAGTGACGTCGCGAGGGTCCCGCGCGTTGCATTATGGGTAACGCCCCATGATGCGACGCGCGGGTCACTCATGACGCGCGTTGCAAGTGACCGTCCTCTCCGTACTCTCCCCTCCTCCTACTCAAGAGCTGCGCTCTAATTGGGCATTACAAAGAGTTGCAAACGTCTTTAATTTTGTTTTATATACGCTTACGGTACTTTATTTTTTAAAAGCTATGTGAAAAGGTAAAATTTAAATTGTCCTCCCGATTCAAGCATCTTAGAAAATTGCGGTTTATTTTCTTCTCGAAGGAGGCACTTCGTATTTTTTTAACACAACCTATTCACGAGCTGCATTTTATGCAAATTATGTCACGCTGGAGCGTGACGAAGTAGCGTTGCACACAGGCCAAGGTAAGATACCGCGTACACAGCCCTTAAAAACCAATGCATAAGCACCCAAAAAGGAGGAATGTTTACTCACTATTAATCATTTATTTCTCGAAATCTGGCTTAAATAGTTCTAACAAGCAAAATTTACCTAGGGGTAGAGTGGGAATCTAACCTTGGCCCGTAAGACCCGCAGCCTGGCGCCTTTGATTGGCGCCACAAAAGGAGGCGGAGGGAAGTGCAAACAGCAGGACCAAGTATGACTCACGGGAGCCTGCTTGAGCGAGTGACCGTTGGCGTGCGGAGATGGCTTCCGAATTGCGAAGCTTAGCTGCCATGTGGTCTTACAACACCACGGGGCAGATCAGAACGCGCAAATGGATAGCGTAGCAAGGTAATTATGTCGCCACTGTTATCCAATCCTGTTTGATCATGTCATGATCAAACAGGACTGGATAAAACTAAATTCCTTGAACTGACCCACTTTGTATCACGCAGATTAGATAATTCCAAGAAAATGAGAGAATTTTCAGCTAGGACTACCCGAATGAAAAATTTGTCAATGTAACCCTGCTTGGCAGTCAATGTTTTCTAGTGGACCGCTGACTGTGCCTGATTGTACGTCAAGCATGTCTGATTGGCCAACAATGCGGGTAAAGCAAACCAGTTGCTTTACCCGCATCAACACGGGTTTCGAAGCACTATTTCCACTGTTACGCAGCTAATCGAAACTATTCACGATTTTTCGTTAGCAATAAACGACCAGAGGCAGATAGATGTTATTTGTATAGACTTCGAAAAAGCTTTTGATAAGGTTTCTCATAATAAACTACTCTTCAAACTTCGACAAATCGGTATTAGCTCCACAATATTAGAATGGATTGATGCTTATTTGATCAATCGCAGGCAGGTGGTGCGTGTTGATGATTATATGTCTTGTTCGTTGGAGGTGTTTTCTGGTGTCCCACAAGGATCTGTGTTGGGACCCTTATTATTTTTGTTGTACATCAACGATATTGCTAGCATTGTAGAGCCAGGCGTAGAAATGAAGCTTTTTGCCGACGATTGTTTACTTTATTCGGTGGTCACAAATGTGAACGAGCAAATTAAAATCAATCGTAGCCTTCAGGCTTTGAACATGTGGTGTGAAAAGTGGGACATGGAAATTAACTATACTAAATCCACATTTACTCATATAACTAAAAAAAAGAGTGCACTTTGTTTTAGGTATAACATTGGAAATAACTTCTTGAACACTGTAAATAGTTTTAAATATTTAGGAGTGACCATAACCCATGATCTAAACTGGCGAAAACATGTGGAAAACGTGTGCTCTAAGGCTTCAAAGAAATTGTACTTCTTAAGGAAAAAATTGCACAACGCAACAAAGAACGTTAAGTTAATTGCCTACAAAACATTCGTGAGGTCAGTTCTAGAATATGCGTCGGCTGTCTGGAGTCCACATCAGAAAGTCTTGAAGTCCAAATTAGAAAGAATTCAAAGATTAGCTCTCCGCTTTGTTTGTGCTAAATATAAATGGACAGATTCGGTTACATCAATGTTAGACTCATGCGACTTAGAGCTACTGGAGACAAGGAGACAAAAACATCGACTGATATTGTTTTTTCAAATCATCCATGGACAAATTAAGATTAATAAGGACAGCTATGTAAAACTACCATGTAAACGAAGTGACCGATTAAATCACAACCTAGCCATTGAGCCGTTCAATGCCCGTGTTGATGTTTTTCGATACTCATTTTTTCCTGATGTGATTGAATCCTGGAATACATTGCCTAGTTATATTGTTGACAGGGAAAATGTTCGTGAATTTGAGAGCCTACTTGACGTGTACTATTGTTGTGAAAGATGTTAGGTAATGTGTTTTGTTGTTTTTCCCTCTCTGTAATGACCCTGGCAAGGGTTAACAGTATTTATAAATAAAATAAATAAGTTACTCTGACCGACAGTCAAACTCCAGTCAGACTCCGCTTGTCTGCTTTTTGATGGTTTCCTGGTGGCAGTCTGCCGCCGCGAAATGCCATCAAGATGTCTTGGTGGCGATTCTGATTGTACATCGATTGTCTTTGACTGTACGTCAAAAAGGTTTGACGTGCAGACAGACGTACGGTCAAAGGACGTAAAGTTCGTTCGGATACCACTATTTCGTCAAATCTATGAATACGAAAAATAATCTGTGCACGAGAAAACGATTTCGGGACGTGAGCCCATAAAACCGCTGATGTTAGAGATATGACTCGCAGCGGACCGACAACCTTGATCAGAAGCCCGCCGAAACGCCGAATACGCCACTTTCGCTTCGCCCATAAAGGCTTCGCCGAGCTTCCATGAACGATCGCTCTCGACTCGTTTTGTTTGCCCACTTGCTCCAACCTGTCGATCCTGCCCGGGCTCTACAATGTCTTATGTTTCAGTAGAATTTCTACTCGACAAGACCAAGCCTGTTGTGAGTTCCGACGATGTAAGGGAGTTTAGCGGTGCAGTTGAAGACGACAAGGTGTACCAGGTCTACTGGGCCGGAGACGCGCGAACGAAAGGATCGTTCTACGACGCGAAAGTACTCTACGTGGCAGATGAGTAGAACTGAAGTACGGCGAGTGATGTACGAGCGCTTTGCATAACATGCTGAAGGCTTAATTGCATATGCAGCCGAAGCATTCTTTAGAGCGATGCGCTCATTGTCGGAATCTCGCGCTGCAATACAAAAATGCTCCTGACTCGGTCCCAAAGGTTTGGGCTAGAAAGTTTACACCTTTCTATCTGGCATGGGCTATTGGCCTTACCGCTGTGTCGGGGCTGCTCGCGTTCGTCCGTGGAAGCCAGGGCTGTCTGTCGTAGCTTGCATGTTTGCTCTCTAGCTTCAACGGAGTCGCATAGGTTCTGTGAATTAAAGTGTATACGGTCGTCCCGAAAGGTTCATACATCGAGGGCGTTTCTTTGAAACATGCTTATGGTGCATGTGGTCCCGTTTGTAAAAAAATGTTCCTTTTGCTAGAAAAACGGAAATTTCAAAAGGGGAAAAAAATAGAACAACAAAGGACGGGTGCACACTTTTCCTGATTTGTTGACGTCATGAGTTACATTCATTTTAAGGTTTTGTGAACCGTTTCACAGCCATGGAAGATGGCCACCTCGGCTTGTGAAACGTTTCATAGCAATCCAAGATTGCTACCTCGGAATTTGAGCTTTATATAAAGAGTAAAGCTATACGCCCTCCGCAGTGCACTTCGGACGGACGGAAATAGCTATACGCACTCCGCTAAACTCTTATAAAACGAATGGTGAAATCGAGTTTCCTAAGCGATGGCATAGCATACGGGTTAAGGTGTCCGCTTTGTACGCAAGTGGACGCGGGTTCGATCCGCGGTGGACCTGCTATTTTCTTCTTTTTTTTTTTCTTGAACATTTCGTTTTGGCGAGGCATTTGGCGATATTTATGAGTGCCTATAGTTTTACTCTTATATAAATGCTACCCTTG